AAAGTAGCCAGTTGAAACTGAATGAAAGCAAGCAGATCAAATTGTCAAAGACCACTGAGGACATTAATGTCCTCACACCATCAGTCTTCAGTAAGAAGGGAAATAGATGTCTGTGTCTTGCATAGGACTGGAGAACTGATCAACTACATCAACCCTTGGTAAAAGGCATATCTTTGTCCTAATGTAAGGACAGATGTGTAACAAGGTCTAAGGAACAGACAGACACTGTTTTCTCCATTTTTCAATTTCTAGAAACACTGCAGATATTTTAGCATGTGGTACCGGAGAAGCAGCTGCAGGACTTAGCATAGGAGAGGAAGAACCTAGGACAGCTTCACTGAAAACAACTGCATCAGTGACTCCATCAGTCCATTTCATAAACATTTCTAGACCGGGGCCCCCAGTCGCTGATGAATAAGCTGGAAATGGGGACACTGACAGGGCGATCTGGAAAAAGTGAGTTTCTGATTTTGCAGATCCTTTAGAGCACCTTGTTGAATGTGGTGAACCCCTTCAATAGGGTTTATTTTATAAGGAAAAAATGGTCATGTGAAAGGAACCCAGGTGCAAGTAAACAAAGAAGCTTGGTTTTTCTCAGGATCAGAACAGTGTTTCTGCAGCTTTAGGACCCTGGTTTATAGAGGGCGATGGATGTGTAGACTGTAAATCAGGGCAACAATAAATACTGTCTGGAGCAGGGCTGTGGGAGTCTAATGAGACTCAGGAAGAACATTGGTTCTTGTGCCTTTTCCAGGAAAGAGCAACTAATTTAGGCTGAGCACTCAGCAAAAATGGAGGCTTTTTTTTTTTTTTTTCCTTTGAGAGACTTTTAGCTCTCTGTCCCCCGATCAGTCTAATGCTGTACTTGAAAACAACCTATAGACTGATGGCGGAAAGTCTCTCTCACCTTTGCCTCCATTTGCTCTTTTAAGGACTTCCTTTCAGGTAGATACTAACATAGCCAGCTTGAAATGCTAAGTGATGTTTGACCCTTGCTACTTACTTATTGGCATTTGATTTTGGCTGTAAGCAGATTTTTTTTTTTTTTCATCTCAGTGAGAACTGATTGGTACTTAGGCTTCACTTAATGCAGTAGTAAAAGATTTAAAAGAAGTGTTACATGATTGCTACAGTGTATTTTCAGGTACTAAAATTGGAACAAAGTGGAATAAGGGCCAGGTGGCAGTCGCTACAAACTGTGCTAATGGCTCCATCGACAGATGTTTAATGTACTTAGAGTTATCCTCCACATCCTACTGTTGCTAACACATTTCCTCCCATACCTCCTCTCAACACAAAAATTTTGAGAGGAAAGGAAACATTAATAACCCCAAAGTGTTTAATTTTAGGGGATATTTAAATCTTAATAGTGGTCATAGGTGACCTATGCAAGCACTGGATGGCTTATTACAGGCTTCAATAATTTTGTTGCCATCATTAGTAAAAGTTGTTCACCAAGAGAAGGCTTAAAATGTATTCATGTTCTCTTTTATTTACCTTTGGACTGAATACGGCTTTGGAAACATTTTTCAAAGGAACAAAATACAGTGATGCCTTACAGAGATGCTTTAGTCTTGGATGCAGACAAGATCCACAGACTGCATCACTCACTGTTCATGTAAAGAATGCTGGTTTGCCAGTAAGAAATCTTAAGCTCTGGATAGTTTCAGAATCTACAGTTGGTTGACCAGGATGTGATAGATTAACTTGTGCACAGCGAGGCAGGTTTTGTTTGTTTGTTTGTTTTTGTTTTGTTTTGTTTTTTAGTACAGAGGAGGGAAGGATGTAGCTAGAGTTTTCCTGCCTGGCCCACAGTCAGGACAAATCTCTGTCACCCGCCAGTCCCACAGCCGCTCAGACCCAACCAAGTAAACACAGAGACTTATATTGCTTACAAACTGTATGGCCATGGCAGGCTTCTTGCTAACTGTTCTTATATCTTAAATTAACCCATTTCTATTAATCTATACCTTGCCACGTGGCTCATGGCTTACCAGCATCTTCACATGCTGCTTGTCATGGCAGTGGCTGGCAGTGACTTCCCCCACCTTTCTGTTCTCTCTATTCTCCTCTCTGTTAGTCCCACCTATACTTCCTGCCTGGCCACTGGCCAATCAGTGTTTTATTTTTTGACCAATCAGAGCAATTTGACATAAAGACCATCCCACAGCAGAAGGACAAAGTGGTGAAGCCCCCTGGGAATAGCACTTCCTCTAATGAATATATTGGGGCCTTTATTGTTATGACACTTCAGTCTTTACATGGCTAGATGACAGAGAAAAGGAGCCTGGAGAGACAAGCTGCAGAACAGAAAGCTTCTGTGAAAGAGAAAAGTACACGAGTTGGATTGTTTTGGAACGCAGTGGCTGTGGCCCTCTAGGGTGTCTTAAGTCAACTGCCAGAGTAGCTCATGAGAGGAGCTGTCTGCTCAGCTAGCTCTATGGGAAGATTGAAATAGTCATTTTTTTTCATTCAATTTCTCTATTCTCCATCATTTTGGATTTAAAGATTCTTTCAAATTTTTAAGATTTTTTTTCTAATGTGGAGTAAGAAACGTATATAGAGGAAATACACAGATCCATGAAAGTCATGATATAGTCCTACTTGTATATTGTTCCTTGATGAATTATCGTCGTTTTATGATTCAGATTTTATTTATTGAGATTGAAATGTAAGACAGTTGATTGAAAAATGAACACGAGGAGGTGAAAGACAGCTTCAATCAAAGCTACAAAACATAGATTTTCTACGCCAAGCCTTGTTAGTGATCAACAACAACCAGAGAGTGAGTAACTTCACCTCTAAAGCTAGAGTGAGGTAGAAGCTGCATATGATGGCTGACAGAGCTTTGGAAAGGACACAGGGGCTTTCTCCATTGTGTAAGGCTCAAAGTCCCTCAGCGTGTGTGGTCATCCTTGGAATAGCATGCTTTTGATTATCCGATCTACGTCATATTAGAGATATTCTCTGACTTTAAAGGGCTTGATTCATATTATACTTGACAGATGGCCTCACTCACTTCTTTTTATAGTTGAAGACAAAAGGCAAGTTAAGGGAGAAACAAAGCCGAGAAGCCCAAATCGTTGGTCAATAAAAATCAAAATTTGTAGGAATCCTACTTCTATCTAGTAACAATAATTATGTTAAAAAACCTTCATTTTCAGCCACTCTGGAAGTCACCAGGGAGAGTTCTCAAAAAGCTACAAATAAATTTATCATATGACCCAGATGTATTTGACATATTGTTCCACAGATGCTTGCCCAGCCATGTTCATTGTTGCTCTATTCATAATACCTAGGATATGGAAACATACTAAATATCCTTTAGCTGATGGATGGCTAATGAAACTGCAGTATTATACACTATGGAATACTATTCATCTGCAAAAAAATGAAATCGTGAACTTTGCAGACAAATGAATGGAATTAGAAAATGTTATATCGAGTGAGGTAACTCAGACCCAGAAAAACAAAAACCACATGCTCTCTCTCTCTCATTTGTGGTTTCTAGTTCCAAATTGTTAAACATGAGTATATAAAGTAGGGTAACCACAGAAACTAGAGAAGTAAAATGATTCCATTTGGGTGAGGATACAAGTGATTTGAAAGGGGGAATGGGCAGGGCTTTAGGTGGGATGGAAGAAGGGATGTTAATACAGAAGGAGAGGGAGGGAAGAGGATAAAATAACACTAAGGATGTCTGGGAAAGCCATAAGGAGCCATTTTATTATTTATTTACCAAAATTACATATACCGCATAGAAATCTATGAGTATACATATACACATATAGTTCAAATGAAGTTCTCCAGTTTGGACTGACAATACTCTCCACAAGAGCCATGAATTATCTTACAAAGAAAGATGCCGGGTGGTGGTGGCGCACGCCTTTAATCCCAGCACTCGGGAGGCAGAGCCAGGCGGATCTCTGTGAGTTCGAGGCCAGCCTGGTCTCCAAAGCGAGTTCCAGGAAAGGCGCAAAGCTACACAGAGAAACCCTGTCTCGAAAAACCAAAAAAAAAAAAAAAAAAAAAAAAAAAGAAAGAGAGAGAGAGAGAGAGAGAGAGAGACCAGGTATGAGAAAACCGCCTTTCAAGTGAGCCAAAGAGACTCCCAAAACAGTACAAGCTATTGTTACCTCCCAGAGGTTGGAGACATCATGCTCTTCAAACACAAAACCCAAAGGATCTTGAGGTGCCCAGCCCCGACTGATATATCTACAACATAACTCCTGCCCTGAAGGTTCACTGAACATCACAGAAGGGGGGCAGAAAAAAGGGCAGAGGACCAGGAAAGCTGCTGTGGGATTCTGTTTCCTAGAAATGACAAGGAACCCTCACAATGACATCTCAACAATATGGCGGCCCAAAGAAGACCTGAGGAAGTATACGAGCAGTAGCCATGCTAACATGGAAGGGGAAAATCTCATGGGGCTCCCCTCATAGACGGAGAACTACAGGCCACTCAACAATGAAGAAAGTCGGATAAATGGTCCTCCCCAGGGATGAGGCCCCTAATTGGTTATCCAATACCAAGTGGTCATCCCTGAACTCACATACATACAAGTAATGTATGGAGAAAGTGGGGAGATTGGAGGAGGGTAAGTGGTGCAATTAAATTTTAATTAAAATAGTAAAATGCTACACATACGATTTAAATCTAATAAGTTAACTAATAACTAGTATTAGAAGAAAAACAGCATCTTAGCACAAAATCACAGATGAAAAATTTCCATAGCACTCAGAAATGCAAAAAATATTTTGTGTCTTCTCTGAAGATGTGTGGACTTCTAGTATACCTCTATGATGAAGAAGACAGTGAAGTAAAAGATGAAGATTCCATAGAGAGGATGTCATTAAAATGAGGTTTTTAAGTGGATGCAAATAAAAACACAAAGGAATAAATCATCATGACAATGGTATAAAATATAAGGGGAAACAAATGACCAAGACACTGGTATCAGCCGTGTGTGTGTGTGTGTGTGTGTGTGTGTGTGTGTGTGTGTGTGTGTGTGTGTGTGTGTTGCAATACTGGTCAAAGATTTAAAGAGAGATGTAAAAATAAATCCTCTTTTGAAACTCAGAACTCCTTATTCAGTGTGAGTTTTAATATACATGAGGAGGAATATAATTTTCAAGAAATTGAAAATGACAATGGTACTGATAATAAGGTTGGTTCTTTAGAATAGTGTTGAAAATTCAAAAGAAAAAATGCTAAAAGCATTCTTTTTCAACACCTTTTAAAGATTTTGTGTGGTGATACATTGTGTAACCTAATAAAATTTACCTGAAGATCAGAGGACAGAACAAGCCACTAGATTAAACATAGAGGCCAGGCAGCAGTGGCACACACCTTTAATCCTAGCACTTGGAAGGCAGACATCCGTCTAGATCTCTGTGAGTTCAAAGCCACCCCGGACTGCATGAGATTGATTCAGTTTAGGAGAGAAACAGAGCCAGGCAGTGGTGGCACACACCTTTAATCCCAGCACTTGAGATCTCATGCCTTTGCTTGGGAAGCACACATGCCTTTAATCCCAGCACAAAGAAGGAAGTGATATGGCTCTTAGAGAAAGGTATATAAGGCGTGAGGAGACAGGAACTAAAGGCTTTTCAGGCTGAGGAGTTCTAAAGGTATACGTGGCAGGGGCTTGTTCCTTTGCCTCTCTGATCTTTTCAGCACTTACTCCAGTATCTAGCTCTCGGTTTTTATTATAAGATCTTTAGAGATTTGAGCAACAATTTTGTTTTTATTTTTGAAATTATGTATATGTGTGCATGTGAAAGTGGGTTTGTGCCCATGAGTGTAGTGCTTGGTGAGTCCAGAAGATAGCGTTGGGTCCCCTTGCACTGGAGATACAGGTGGTTGTGAGTCCACTGATGTGGGTGCTGGAAACCAAACCTCGGTCCTCTACAAGAACAGTACTCACTCAACCAACTGAGTCATCTCTCCAGCCTCCTGGCTAGTTTGGCTTGTCAATTTGACAAAGCCTAGAGTCATCTGAAAAGGGGAACTTCATTTGAAGAATTCCCTTGATCAGACTGGCCTGTCGACATGTCTGTGAGAGATTATCTTGACTGATAATTGGGGGCACCATCCCTGGGCAGGTGGGTCTCAATTGGAGAAGAAAGCAAGCTGAGCGTGAGCCAGAGAGCCAATTAGCAAGCAGAATTTCTACATGGTTCCTGGCTTCAGGTCTTATTTTCTCTTTTTATTTATATTTTCCTGGTTATGCTATCAGTAAAAAATATAGAAAAATATAAAGAGAAAAACCTAAAAGTGTCTCATTTCTTCTACCATAATAATAGTCATTTGTATTTGGTATATTTCTTTTCAGTGTATGTATTTTTTTAACTGTATCATACCTTGTAAATGATGTATCTTCCACTTGCCAAATACTAATTTCCACAAATATTTTCTCATGAAATAAAATAGTCCTTAAATTAATTGGCCCCAAGTCAAATGTGATGGGACATACCTTCAATCACAGAACAGAGGGAGGCAGAGATCTGTGAGTTCAAGGCCAGCCTGATCTACACAACAAATTCCTGGCCATCCAGGGGTGTGCAGTGAGACCCTGTCTTTTAAAAAAAAAAAGTGGCTTAAGTACAGCTCATAATATTTCATTGTTGGATGAAACAATTTTCTCATTGTTATACATTATATTACTTTGATAATCCTATGGATATGTGCAATTAGAAATAACAGACATTGTTCACATGTCAGTATGCATAGATCTTAAATCTATAAATAAGGATTGGTAGAAAACAATAAAAATATACCATTAAACCATTGAAACATAATTATGATAATTTTGTGGTAGTAAGGATCAAACCAAGAGCTTTCCATGTGCTAGGCAAGTGTTATACCATGGAGTCAGATCCCCAGTTCCCGAATGCCATTCATATAAATGAAACTGCGCCCACATAAAGCAATTCACACAGTCCAAGAACATAAAAACAGAGGATGCTGCCCAAACAGTCCGTGGTACAGCTTTGGCTGCATTCCTTAAAGGTGAACATATTGCCTATATTTTGCCACAAATGTCCCATACCTAGGAGCGCATCTAACAGAAATAGGAATACATTTGCCAAGAGGTGAGTCAGAACCAACCTTAGTGGTGAGAACAAAGCTGACAGCGAATGGGGAGAGATTGTGATGGCCTCACCCATGAGATAGGCACACAGCAGCAAGAATGGACTGTTCTCGTCGCACAAAACCATGGCCAGCGTTACTTTCAGTTCCCCTTCAGAACTTGACGGTGAGTTGTTGAAGACATCACACACTTTGGATGCAGGCCACAGAGAAATCAAGTGTGAACTGAGCTGCAAGCTTCCTGTTCACTAGTATCCATAGTGCTGGAAGCTCCTGTGCAGGTTGCTGGGGAAGAGACATTATTAATGTAGTGTTGAAGTGATGAGAGCAGGTTACCATTGAATGCCCAGGATTAAATGGGACACCTATATGGCCCCCTTCAAGGCCCAGGGGACATCAGGAAAGAGATGGTGGTAAGATTGTGAAAGCCAGAGGAGAGTGCTTTGAAATGCTGGCTTCTAAACAAGGCATGGCTGTGGCCATCATGAGCACTCAGTATCTGTGGCTATCTGCATAAGACCCACAGAAGATGGGGCCCTTCAGTATTCCATTGTGGAGGGATGCAGGAGCTCATGAGACCCCCTGTGGAGCAGCTGTAAGTAGCTGATGGCTGCCAGGAAAGGGGAAGTTACTTTTTTCAGTGGTATAGTCATTGATAAGTTTTCCTTGATCCAGTAAGTGGCAACTCAGTCACACACACACACACACACACACACACACACACACACAAATAGGAGAGGGACTAGTTGGGAGGAAGAGGGTTAGCAAGAGGGGGAGGAGCTATGAGAGGGAGATTGGGGTGAATATGATCACAATACATTGCATATATATATATATATATATATATATATATATATATATAAAATTGCAAAACAGAAAGAATATCCATAGTTTAAAAGAAGTTGAGCTGGGGAAGCCAGACACTTTAGTATAGTTCAATTTAAATCATGTATAAATAAGCAAAAACTATCTTTTCTTCATAAAGTCAGGAAGTAGTTGCTATACACTGATAATGACTAGGGGAAGTAGAATGTTTTAGGGTTTTGGGGTGATGGCGACTTTTGCTTTCTGACCCCAAGGCTGGCTGCACGAGGTATATTCATTTGTAAAAAGTCATTATGTGATCTGCTTACGGTAAGTGTCATTGTTTTTATCTATACTATTGTTCAGTGCAATGATATATTAGAATGGTGGCCAGCAGAGAAGGTTTGGGACTGAAAAAAATAAAATCAAGTACATGAATGAATTTCCAAGGTATGATTTTCAAGAGTTTGCCAAGGAAGAACATCATAATTTTTCTCAGTACTATTTGAGATTTAAGAAAATAAAACAATTTGCCTGTGTGTTAAGAAGTTTTAGAAAACATGGTGCAGAATAAAACTAGGTAAGCAATTTTATGCAAGTCATCACTAAGTATATAGATAATTACATATTAATATTTCTCTAAAATTTATGTTAATATGATGACGATAATACAAATATTTTCTTACTTTGATGTTTTAGTATGTTTTAAAAAACCCATATTTTCTTACATTTAGCTTTGGAAAGTAGGATTTGTTTGCCTTTGCTTTTTTTTCACGTTTAATCTCAGTACCCAAATCTCCACATAATTGTAGCCACTTCCACCTGTAAAGAGCCGTTCTCCTTCCAGAACTAAACAGATTAGAGATTGCAAAGCGCTTCTGAGTTTAATTCCCCATAGAGTCGTTAGGAGAGTTGCTTTGGGTTATCCTGGTGACATTTATTAAGATCAGAAAGCCCAGAGATAAGACGATCAGAAATGTTTGTTTTACTTAACTACGCAGACCCTTCCACACCTGCTCAGCCCAGTGACCCAAACTATCTTCTAATTGCCCATGTCAAATGTTCAGCAGCTAGGAGGCAAGAATATACATACTACCTTAAGGAAAGTGCATGTATTTTACACTTATTTTCATGCATGGTTTACTGAGTGAATAAAACTGAAAAACACATTTGGTAAATCAGTATATTGAAGTACAGGAACATTTTCATTAAATTTACTATAAATAAAATTAATAAAAATTATTTAAATTAATTTTTAGACATTTAATCTTTAACTGTAATTTTTAAAATCCTGCCATCTCTTCTGCTTTGGAAAAATATACTACTTAGGAGGAGAATAAACTTAGTCCCTTCTTGTATGATTTAAAAATTAAAAACACTTTTCAATCGCTTAGCAATCGAATGACTTACCAACATTTGAATTTCTTTTGAGTTTTAAGAGGAAGAGGGCAAGTTAATTTCTGAACAGGATTTACTAACATATAATGCCCTTTTTTGAAGACCTATACCTTTGTCCCTGTGACAAACTCCTTTTATGCACATCCTAGAATTTTTCCAACCATTTTTCTAAAACCAAAACTTGCCTCTTGTGTTAGCTCCAGTAGGCATCGTTTGAATTGTGTTCATGTGCATGTAGCGTGGTGAAATACGTATACACACACATATATTTCTTCTCCCTGAGGTTACTCAACAAACAGAAGCCCACAAGCGTGTGCTCCGTCGTTTACTGGGGCCCCGTGAAAAGCCCACTACATTCACTCTGCACAGCTCTGGTTAAACATTGTCCTAGCGTTTGCTCTGCGCCGTCTGTTGTTTTTACGCTGAAGCTCAGCCCAGGTTGGAGGCAGTATTGACTTTGTAATTAAACCATTTTACCTTCAGAATTTTGTAATCACTGCATTTAAAACCATCTGTTGTGGTGAGAAGGTAAACTCTTCCCCACCTCAAGGTACAAAAAAAAAAAAAAAAAAAAAAAATACAGTGACCTTATTTTTAACTCCAGAGTCCCATTTATAGGGCCCTATTTTCCTAATGGAACCAGGAGGTGAAGGAAGAGGAGAAATATTTCTTCCCAGGAGATGAAGCAAGGGGGGCTGTCATAGAATTAAAGTTAACTGCAGGTGCACGTTTCTTGTCACCAGCAGCTCCTGTTCAAAGATACTACCTTTCCTCCGTGTGTGCTGACTTAGCATAGTTTATTAGAGGGAGTGTGATATTAAAGACAGGTTTG